AAGAATAATTAAGGTATTATGTCCCCCATTTTGAAGATTAAAAAAAGCTAAGGCACAGAGAGGTTAAGTAACTGACTGAAAGACACGTGGCTAGGGAACAGACCAGAGGGCAAACCCAAGTAGTCTGGTTCCAGAAACTATGCTGTTCACCCCTAATGCATTCTGCCTTTGTGCTAAGGTGGAGGAGCTGAGGATGAAAAGAAGGCTTGGGTTCCTCAGCTATTTTCACCATGAAACCAGTAGGAATTGATCATTTCTTAGATATGGAGATCATGGGAGAGGGAGGAAGGAAGTGTGATGTCCAGCTATTTTATAGCACAACAGAGTGACTGTAGTCAATAATAACTTAACTGTACGTTCTAAAATAACTAGAAGAGTATAACTGGATTGTCTGTAACACAAAGGATAAATGTTTGAGAGGATGGATACCCCATTCTCCATGACATTTTTTTACATTGCATGCCTGTATTAAAACATCTCATGGGCTGGGCGTGGTGGCTCATGCCTGTCATCCCAGTGTGTCCGGAATTGGTGGGTTCTTGGTCTCAGTGACTTCAGGAATGAAGCCCCAGACCCTTGCAGTGAGTGTTACGGTTCTTAAAGATGGTGTGTCCGGAGTTTGTTCCTTCAGATGTTCAGATGTGTCTGTAGTTTCTTCCTTCTGGTGGGTTCGTGGTCTTCACTGACTTCAGAAGTGAAGCTGCAGACCTTCGCAGTGAGTGTTACAGCTCTTAAAAGTGGCACGTCTGGAGCTGTTCGTTCTCCCTTTTGGGTTTGTGGTCTTGCTGGCTTCAGGAGTGAAGCTGCAGATCTTCGCAGTGAGTGTTACAGCTCATAAAGGTGGCATAGACCCAAAGAGTGAGCAACACCAAGATTTATTGTAAAGAGCAAAAGAACAAAGCTTCCACAGTGTGGAAGGTGACCTGAGTGGGTTGCCACTGCTGACTCAGGCAGCCTGCTTTTGTGTCCCGTGCCACATGCCCACACTCCTCAGCCCTTGGGCAGTCGATGAGACCGGGTGCCACGGAGCAGGGGGCGTGCCTGTCTGGGAGGCTCAGGCTGTGTGGGAGTCCATGGGAGGCAGGGCTCAGGCATGGAGGGCTGCAGGTCCGGAGCCCTGCCCTGCAGGGAGGCAGCTGAGGCCCTATGAGAATTCAAGCATGGTGCAGGTGGGCCAGCAATGCTAGGGGACCTGGCGCACCCTCAGCTGCTGGCCTGGTGCTGAGTCCCTCACTGCCCGGGGCCTGTGGTGCTGGCTTGGCTGCTCTATGGCATAACCTGCCCTTTGTATCCCATTCTCCACAAATGAACTTCCATCGGTATATAAGTTAAGGTCAGAATTAGCTAAGGGGACTTCTAAGAGATCATCTTGGGCTGCATAAATCTGGACTTTAATTTGTTGGCAGTCATGCTCGATTGGTTCCCCATCCTTGGGAGAGAAGAGTGGCAGGGTTGAGGGCCACACATGTATGTATTTGAAGCACCGGACCCTCAAGGAGTAGTGCCTGGTATCTGAGTAGGCAGTTGTCTGATAGCCATAAACTTCCTTTGGCACCTAGTATGTCATTTACATCATGAGTAGTCCAGACAGTGAGATCCTTTCCTTGTATTATCTTGATAGCCTCTGACACTAAGACGGCCACCGCCACAACTACCTGTAAACAGTGGGACCAACCTTTTGCTACTACATCAGTTTCCCTACTTAGGTCTGCCACTGGTTGTGGGGTTGTCCCACGAGTCTGAGTAAGGACTCCAAGAGCTACCCCTGCTCTCTCTCTGACGTATAAATAGAAATTTTTTCCTGTCGGAAGGCTTAAGGCTGGAGCTTGTACTAGGGCCTGCTTTAAGGTTTTGAAGGCTGTTTCTGCCTCTGGTTCCCATTCTACAAGATGAGTATTTTCCCTCTGGGTTTCCTTGATTAAAGTGTAGAGGGGCCTGGCTATTTTGTTGTATCTGGGGAATCCATAGTCAGCAAAAGCCGGTGATTCCAAGGAACCCCTGCTACTGTTTTAATGTCTTAGGGTGAGAATAAACCAGTATAGGCTGTATTCATTCCTTGCTGAGGGCCCTGGTCCCTCTGGCTAAGATGAAGCCTAGATATTTGACCTGCTGTAGGCAAAGCTGTGCCTTTGACCTAGACACCTTGTACCCTTGATTAGTTAGAACGTTCAAGAGATCCAGAGTAGCCTGCTGGCACGAGGCTTCTGAACTGGTAGCCAAAAGT